GAGAGAGAGAGAGAGAGAGAGCGGCGCGTCTGAAAAAACGGCTCGACTCAGCCTTCGACTGCCACCCGCAACTGCAACAGCCGCGTGACTCCACCATCTCCACCGTCATCACTCGCTCCGCACCTCCACCCAGCAGCGGAATCACCACCATGTCCGACGCAGACACCCTCCAAAATGCCGCATCGGCAGCACCCGCAGACGTCCCAGAGCAGCAGCAGGACTCCGCAGACCTCTTTGGCGGCTTGAAGAAGAAGAAGAAGGACAAGAAGAAGCTTGATCTCGACCTTGACCTCGACGAGAACGACGCCGACAACAAGGATGCAAACGCAGATGCCGACGCTCCCGCAGAGGACGACGAGCTCAACGTGCGTTTCTACCATTCCCATTCCTCCCGCCCACTTCGGATGTCCGCCTACTGACCGTCTTCTCCTTTTCCCCCCTCTCCCTTGTATATTGCAGTTCGGTGAGCTCAAGAAGAAGAAAAAGTCAAAGAAGAAGGTCGCTCTCGACCTCGATGCTTTCGAAAAGGAGATCGGTGAGGCAGACGACAACGCAGACGACGCAGACGCCCCCACCAACGACGCATACGCAGACGTAGACGACGAACAGCTCGGCGACAACCCCTTCGCACAGGACGCAGCAGACGACGCAGACGCTCCCGCCAAGGACCCCTCCATCGAGGCATGGCAGGGCACAGATCGCGACTACACCTACCAAGAACTCCTCGGCCGCGTATTCAACACCCTCCGCGCTCAGAACCCCGCCCTCTCCGGAGACAAGAAAAAGTTCACCATGGTCCCGCCCCAGGTCGCCCGCGACGGCTCCAAAAAGACCGTCTTTGCCAACGTCGTCGACATCTGCAAGCGCATGCACCGTCAACCAGAGCACGTCATCCAGTTCCTCTTTGCCGAGTTGGGCACCATCGGATCCGTCGACGGCGCACAGCGCCTCGTCATCCGCGGCCGCTTCCAGCCAAAGCAGATCGAAAACGTCCTCCGCAGATACATCACCGAATACGTCATCTGCAAGACCTGCAAGCGTCCAGAGACAAAGCTCACAAAGGAGAACCGCATCTTCTTCGTCACCTGCGAAAAGTGCGGCTCCCAGCGCTCCGTATCCGCCATCAAGAGCGGTTTCCAGGCACAGACCGGAAAGCGCTCCAAGATCAGGGCCGCCGCAGGCGCTTAAAGCGCCCCTCCACTCCACTCCATCCGCATGCGCTCCAGCCTCGACCTTGCATCCTCGACACTGTTATCTGTACTTGTTCCTCTTCCCAAAACCCAACCATCGACGGGCAAAATGCAAACATCTGTCCCCCAATCCCCCTCTGCCCTCGTTTGACTTCAATCCTCTCATGAGTGAGCGAGCATCGTATCCCAAAGCCGCATGACGCTCGGTCATGTCCCACTGGCCGAATCAACCACAAACCTTTGGGGCATGAAGTGCGTAGCAGCTATTCGCGGACAGGGCAAATCTTGACGCTTTGAGATCACACACGTTGTAAGCCTGGCATAACACTCGGCTCTCGCAACAGAAGGTCGATCAAGGTGGCTCGCGCATCACCCTTTCTCTCCTGTACCGTGTCCATGGATTGTATCAAAGTGAAGCCCCTCATTGCATCGTCAGCTCCGGATGGTAATGGTTCCGGTGGCGGTTCGGGTCGAAGCGTCTTCTTTTAGTGGGATCTGTAGTCATAAGCATTTCCTGCAGAAGCGTCGGATCGACAGCCAGTCCAGAGGTATGCAGGGTGGCAGACGTATACGTCAATGAGCTATCTCCCTAAGCGAGGCGGGTGAGGTGGCCTTGTGCTAACTGAATGCTTTGCGATCGAGTGTGGCTGCTTTCCAAGAGCACAGTCGTGAGCGGCTCTCCAAATGGCTCTTCCTTCATGTCTGCTACCCGCACGCCGGTCCCTCGCATGTCTTGACTCATGACTCGCACCTTGAGCACTCGTGGCTCCCATGAGCCACGACTCGTATGACAACAAAATCACAGAAAGCCGCAAATTCGCTCTCCGTCTATTCGCGACCATCGCACACAACAATCGCATCGGCAGACCCTTGACCCTGAATGGACAGTCATGAGCCAAGCGAGTCCGTATGAACCATTGGAGCCTCTCACACACGGTCGTGAAGTACCAACAACGATTTACGGAGGCTGAGAGGTTGCGTCAACCACATCGTAGAATCACGCCAGAAGCGGGGGCCCATCCCCGGGACATGCTTGGCGGCCAGTATGAACGTAGCAAGGAGCCCTACGACGCCCTTGCTTCTCAACGATGAACGTGCAACGGCATAAGTTACGAATTCTGAATTCTGATCATCGATGCACATCTTGAAGAATCGCGAAAGTGGGGGCGTCAGCCAGGCGACTTGGCTGCAACTGTTCCAATCTGCTCGTCGCCAGCTGATGTGTCGTTAAGAAGTGCGTGACTGTTCGCGATCATGTATCACTTTGGTTCCGCCTTTCTCAGTGACTCAAGGACCGCTAGCTTATCCAGAGTGAAATCTTTAATTTTGCATTCGAGGCTCGCACCAGCGTGGTGCGCTATTAAATGTCCGACTTCGGCAAAAGGTGTCTGGTAACCCGTCACGAAGCTAAAAATGTGTTCATAATTTATGATTCCAACATGTAAATTATGACCCTAGATGGGAAGCTAAGTACAGGCGAGCGAGAATCGTGAATATTCATTTCCCCACGACCATGATTTACAATGCCGCATCCAGGATCACGCTCTCACATTCTGTGAAATGAGTGCGCCAGGATCTTGACCCTGAAAACTTTTATCGTGAAAAGGCCCCGAAGACGAGAGGCGGTAGTGCTTCTGTCTGTGGGGTCGAAAGGCCGCAGTTGACAGGTAGAAGCCTACTGCACCCCAGCAAGCCACCAAGAACTCTCCCCAGGGCTTCCGCCGACG